CGGACCTTACGCGGAGTCCGAACCGGAGGTGAAAGCCATTGTGGATTTTGTACGGCAACATGGCAACATCAAGGCTTTCGTCTCCATCCACAGCTACTCCCAGCTTCTCCTCTATCCTTACGGTTACACCAAGGAGAAAGCCGCCGACCACCTGGAGCTGGTAAGTCGCCTCAGAAGAACCCTCCCAAAATTCCTATACATAATTCTATTCAAAAGATGAAAATATATGAGTCACTTTTTTCAGTGCTAACTTCGAATGCTTGGACAACCCAACAGGTTGGGGGTAATAATAAATAATAATAATAATAATTATTATTATTTATTCCCAAGTCTTCTTCTGCTCACCCCTAACTAAAGCCAAAACCTTCTCAACTTCTCCTCTCCTCCCCCCTCCCGGTGTCCCTTCCCAGGACGCCCTGGCGAAGAAGGCCGTGGCCGCGCTGGAATCAGTCCACGGAACCAAGTACAGATACGGCAGCATCATCACCACCATCTGTAAGTCCCATTGACGGGAAGGCAGAGGCCGTTGGCCACCCGAGAGGGGAACGGGTGGCGGGGAGTTCCTAGGATGAGGAGCATTCGTTTAGGGACCGTTCGAAGTGACGGCGGCACTGGAAAAAGGGACTCAGGAGCGTTTTTCACACTTAGGACCGTTCCAGCATCCCCCGTGGTGACGGGATCAAAATTCAAGACACTTGTCAACTGACTCATGGGTCAGAAATGGTGTAGGGCAGGGGTCCTCAACCTTGGCAACTTTAAGACTTGTGGACTTCAACTTCCAGAATTCCTCAGCCAGCTTTGCTGGCTGAGGAATTCTGGGAGTTGAAGTCCACAAGTCTTAAAGTTGCCAAGCTTGAGGACCCCTGGTGTAGGGCAGTGATGGCGAACCTTTTATTTATTTATTTATTTATTTATTTTATTTAATTTATATGCCGCCCTTCTCCCGACAGGGACTCAGGGCGGCGCACAACATATTTAAAACCAGAACATATATACAATCCCCCCCTTAAAACCGAATTAAACCGAATTTTAATGTTGCGTCTTCCGAATATTTAAAACCCAATGTAAAATCCACCCTAGGTCAGGT